TCCTTTATTCCTACATACTCCAATGTCTATTTCGTGAGGACGTTCTCTTGCATACCAACAGGATCATTATCAAGATGAGGAAATTTAAGATTGATACATTACTATGACCAAAATTCAAATTTGGTCAATTGTCCCTACATTGTCGTATAAATTATAACAAACCTTTCCCTTGGTCCAGGACTCACTCCAGGATGATGTGTTGCATTTATCTGTCAAGTATCTTTGGTATTCTGTAATCTGGAATGGTCCTCTGGCTTCTTTGTCTTTTATGACCATAACAATTTTGAGGAATACAGGCCAGTTATTTTATAAAACGTCCCTCAGTTGGCCCTAATGTCTTTCTGATTAGACTCAGGTTATACATTTGGGACAATAATACCACAGAAATGATGTTGTGTCCTGCTCAGTGCATCTTATCAAGAGGCACAGAATGTCACTTTTCCCCATTTTTGCTGACCGTTTGGGTAAGGTGGTGTCTTCCAGTTTTCACCATTATGAAGTTCTCGTATTCTTTTTCTTTGATTAATATGTAATTTGTGGGGAGACACTAAGAGACATGTAAATGTCCTTCTCATCAAATTCTGCCAGCCACTAGCTTTAGCATCCATTCATGTTTCTTGCCATCATGGTAGCAAAATGGTGAAGAAAACATATTTGAGTTTTCTCTTTCTCATAGTTCTCTCTTTCTCATATTTCTCTTTTCCAGAGATTGCAATTTTTTTTCCAGTAGCAGCCTTATTTAGCTGACAATCGAAAACCACCCACCATTCCCTCACAACTGTGTCTTGTTTTCTCATCTGTGAAAAGGGACAAAGAATGTTTCCCCTAGGTTGCCTTTTGAGACAGCTGCTGGCAGGTTTGCCCTGGAATCTTGAGTGTATGCGTTCTTCCTACACAGCACCAGGCACTTATCATGTGGTACCACATCAAACCCAGCCAGCAGGTCTGTTATAAGGTAGGCACAACTATGAACCTCGTTTTGCAGGTAACAACAGATGTTTAGAGAGGATACCTGTGAGTAACTTGCCTGAGGTTCCAGCTAGTTAGCTTTAGTAAAAGGCAGAGCCTGGGTTGGCAGCTAGACTGAGTCCAGAGCCTACATGCTTAACTGCTACCTTATACTCATCCAAAACAGACTCATGGCTTGCTCATGGCAGGGTCAAGTGTAGGATGAGCTGGGCAAGGTGCCTGGGGTGCAAAATTTAAGAAGGCTCTCACTCTCAAGTCCTGACCCTGTGCCCGCATGATACTGAGAGTGAGTGTCCCCTTAAAATGTGCACCCTAGGCTCACTTCGCCCTCTTTCAAGCCCTGGTTCTTGGGGAGGGCCGGACAGTGGGAATTGGCCTCCGTCACAGTTCATTGTACAGCTCACATATATTCCTGGGATACCTGGGAAGGTAGGGATTTTCCAGTTTCTCCCTTTGGTCAATGGACAAACTATTCAGCCTTGAGCCTGATCTGTTCTAAACAATGCTAAGCACAGAGACTACTATGAGTACCATCCCTGCCCTCCTATAGCTTGCAGGTCTAAGCATTCACTTCCAGGGGAATCAATATGACAGGTCAACACTTGGGCCTTCTTAAGAATCACCTTGGGCTTCACTGGTGGTGCAGTGGTTGAGAGTCCGCCTGCCGATGCAGGGGACACGGGTTTGTGCCCCAGTCTGGGAAGATCCCACGTGCCACGGAGCGGCTGGGCCTGTGAGCCATGGCCACTGAGCCTGCGCGTCCGGAGCCTGTGCACCGTGACAGGAGAGGCCACAACAGTGAGAGGCCCACGTACCACAAAAAAAAAAAAAAAAAAAAAAAAAAAAAGAATCACTTCAATGTGCATTGGCACATTTTTTGAGGATTTCAAAGTACACAAATGGATTAAACTCTGCTGTCTTGACAACCTCATTGTTTTCCCTTTTCATTAACCTTTTTGCATTTATCTTGGTTATGATTTGCTTTCCCCACTAACAGAATGAATACTTTGGGGTATTAACTCAGTTGTGCTTCCCTTGGGCTTTATCTCCTTTCAGAACTTAGCTCTTGACAGGACCAGGTTTCAGAAGCATGGGCTCAAATTACAACGTTGCCACTTAGTACTTACGTTTTTGGAAAAGTCAGTTTGTCCCCTGAGACTCAAGTGTTTCATTGGTCCACCAATGTGCCAAGATCATCTTTTCCAGGGTTCTAAGTAAAGTGATACAGACGCCAAGTAATCTTAAATCACAGGTGCCATTACCCAGGCAGCAGATGCTGTACCTGGCCTTTCCTAGTACCAACTGTATAGTGGGGGTGTTGAAAAGCAAAATCTAACTACAAAGGTGATTTTGTTGGAAAAACAACCCAAAGTATTTTCTATTTCAAATACACATTATTACTGTTTTCCTTTCTTGGATGATCTGAAAAATTCAAGTTGGTTAATCAGATTAAGCTTTGCAGCCATCCCAGGATTACATTTTTGGTTTATTAAGCTACTTCAAGATCTATTAAAAAAATGTTATTCTGTAGTACATGAAATGTCCTTCCAGGGAGGACAGTGGGAGCAGAGAAAAATTATGAAACATATAATACATTGTTCTCAACATGGGACAATTTTTTAAAATTAATTTTACTCTTTTTGGAAACACTGTCACCAAAAGGAAAAGAATGAGCTCACTATAGAACTACATGTATGAAGCAAGACCTACTATCATGTATTTATAATTTTTTTTACTTTCACATTTTTAATAAATTTGAAGGGGGTAGGGAGGTTTTTCATTAATGGGTTGGTATATATACAGCCCATGGGTCTTTGGTCTAAAAGCCAACTCTTAGGGAATGGAATAGGACATAGAAATCATTTGATTAAAAAGTCTAGTGATTCGGTTGCTACGCAATGGTTGCAAAGTTTAAAACTGAGTTTAAGGGACCCTGCAATGAAAATAGCTCAGACACAGAGGAGTTAAGAGACAGTTTCTCAGGCCTTGGCTCAGTTATTCCTTACAAATAACGATTCTGCGTGACTAGGGAATGATTTAATATGCAGTCTTGGAAAGTTGAAAGGTGATTTTCTGGTCACAATTTCTATTTCCAAATTGGGCAACATGAGCCATCGCTTCTACCAAGGTACCATCATTTCTAGTGATAGTCCCATGAATCAAGTTAATTCTTGTGCTGCCAGGAAAGTCGGAATTTTCATTAGTTCTAAAAGCTCTTAACCATGGGTTTCAGATAGGTAGCACTTTAAGTTAAGACTTCTCTGGAAATGACCATCTTTTTTTTTGCATTTTAGCATCCAAGTTGTATGTGCAATTTGCTCTAATTAGGTCTCAATTTTTCCTGTTAGCTGTTATTGCTGGAGAATGAAATGGGCAGGTCATTGTGTCTTTTAATCAACGCGGTAGTGTGATCTTGCTTGCACCATGACCTGCTCTCAAACATGCTTGTATCTTTTCAAACATACTGTCTGTAGCCTAGGGGCAGAGAAAACATAGGATTGTTGCATTTTAAAAGGTTCATGTAACAATATCTGCAAGAATGTCAGACATTTGAGTTACGTTTCTGCAATTACAGCCATAAATACAAGAATGAAGCTTTTTCTTTTTCTCTGGAGAATAAGGATCCTCCCTAACCTTAAACTAGATTGAGTCTTGAGCAGCCATAGACAATACATAAATGAATGGGCATGTTTGTGTTCCCACAAAATTTCATTTATGGACACTGAAATTTGAATTTCATAGGGTTTATTTGTATCATGAAATAGTCATCCTTTCGATTTTTTTCAACCATTTTAAAAGCTAGAAACCATTCTTAGCTCTGGGGCTGCATAAAAACAGGCAGCAGGCTGGGTTTAGCTCTTGAGCTGAGTTGTAATTTGCTGTAGTAAGTGGCAGAGTCAAGATTTGAACCCAGGCAGTATGGGTCCAGTGAGCTCTTAACATATATATTATATATTATATTATATGTAGTACATATATGTTAACATTTATATATATTCAATATGATGATGATAGTAAATCACGCTCTTTATAGAAAATCTAGCAAAGGATGAAAGAGAAAATAGCAACCACCCACAAAACCACAACCCAGAAATAACTACTAGTAATATTTGATGTTTTCTTTCCATTCTTTTGTCTACTATATGCAGTATTCAGTTTATAAATTTTAGCTTTTCACTTATAAACATTTTTCACATTTCCACACAGGCCACACAATTATAATAATTAATGGATACGTGAGAGTTCATTTTAAATGTAGTAGGGGAAATTGCTATTTTGAAAAAAATCCTACAGCTAATAATTTCACAAAGCAAAGAATCTTTTGATTAAGTTGGTCACTTTTCATTTACCTGCCACATCTTTGCATTTCTAGGAGTTGGATTTTTTAAAAGCAACCTTGATTGTAGACAGCAGTAAAAAGACTTTGGAATCCACCAGACCTGAATTTGACTTCTCACTGACCCTCTATTGGCCAAATGGCCCTGGGCAAACCGTCAGTTTTTGTTAATCTGAGGTGTTAACTGAGGTGATGTTCAGGGACACCTCAGTTTTCCCTTGTGCCGAAGAGAAACCAGGACCACTATATATAAGGTCCCAAGCAGGGACCGAGCACAGAATTCTACTCACTTGGTAGCAGTCAGTACTTATGTTCCCTGCCACCAACCACTCCCAGTGCCCAGCACCAGCACAGGAAATAGATGCCTTCCCTCAACACTGTAGAGAAAATGTCCTTTTCTGTTTTGAGCAGCACAGGAGTCTTCTTCCTCGAGTGAAAATGGGCCCGCGGGAATGAGGAGAAGGAGGATTAATGAGGTGGGTGGACCTGATCTGGAAGTGCCCACCCCGCCCCTTGCCACTCCTGCCTCAACCCAACCGGGAGACTTTGATCGAAGTTTCCAAACTGAAACAGTGTCCAGGTTCCTACCATAGCAAGTGGCATCCTGACCTAAGCAGAGGCATTGTTCTATTTCATAGGTACAGGGGATCTCCAGCCCAAACATCTGAAAAGAATTCGGAGCCCAGCCAAATCCATGAGGAGCAAAAACTCTTTGGAGCTGCAGAGGACGGCAGCACTCACAGCCGAGGGCTGCAGCAACACTGGCTTTCAGGTGAGCAGACCTTTCCTCTTGTTTAAGACCAAGTAAATGGAAGTAATGCTCTTTCCTTGCCTTTCTGGCAAGTTTCTTAACTACAGCAGAGGGATTCTTGAAATGCAATAAGATTTTTAATGGCACTCTTTAAGCCTATTATTTTTCCTTCTTGGGTTCTTCTCAGGTTGACAAACCTGAAAAGTCTCTTAACCGAAACTGTTTCGGTCCCTGACACTTAAAGACAAGATTGTCCTCTCCTACTTGTGTTTAGGGCTCATATGGCACAGATATAGTTTTGTTTTGTTTTTTTATGTATTTATTTATTTATTTTTGGCTGTGTTGGGTCTTCACTGAGGTGCGTGGACTTCTCCTTACGTTGGCTTCTCTTGTTGCAGAGCATGGGCTCTAGAGCGCGGACTCGGTAGTTGTGGCGCACGGGCTTAGTTGCCCCACGGCATGTGGGATCTTCCCGGACCAGGGCTCAAACCCGTGTCCCCTGCATTGGCAGGCAGATTCTTAACTGCTGCACCACCAGGGAAGTCCACAGATATATCATTTACTTACAGACATTTTCCCAAAGAACTGGTGAGAGGGCAAGAAAGGGGAAGAATCCAGATCCTGGATGTAGTTAGCACCTCAGGGTCCCTTTCTCTTAAACCAGGTCTCAGAGCCCCTGTCAGATGGTGGCCTGGGTACCTGCCCTGCTGCAGGGGGCAGGTACCCAAATCATCTCATGTCATCATCCAAAACTCACTGAGTGATTAACACTGCGTGGCCCAGGGCTAGGTGCCACAGAAGTCCTGTCACCATAAATCACCAGGCTTTTTTCTGACTGGGTCTGGGATGAGGATTTCTCAGGGCTGTACCCAAGTATACTTCTTTTTGTTTTTTTTTTAAAGCACTGAAGTAGCTTACTTCCCTGCCTCGATTTAGAATGAAATATATATTTTTAAAATTTTATTTATTTATCTATTTATGGCTGTGTTGGGTCTTTGTTTCTGTGCGAGGGCTTTCTCCAGCTGTGGCAAGCGGGGGCCACTCTTCATCGCGGTGCGCGGGCCTCTCACTATCGCGGCCTCTCTTGCTGCAGAGCACAGGCTCCAGACGCGCAGGCTCAGTAATTGTGGTTCACGGGCCTAGTTGCTCCGCGGCACGTGGGATCCTCCCAGACCAGGGCTCGAACCCGTGTCCCCTGCATTGGTAGGCAGACTCTCAACCACTGCGCCACCAGGGAAACCCCCAAGTATACTTCTTTTCCTAACCTGACACTCAACATGGGAAGCTCACATGAGCAGGTGTCAGCAATCCCTTGGGCTTCAGCTTCAATAAACAGGCAAAACAAATGTTTATGCACTAACAAAGAAAGGAACAAGGAAGGTAAAAGGGCTTTGACTCAAGTTGACTCCAGTCCTGAGTCTTCTACTCACAAGTTATTGTAACTTCCTTGATCTTCGGTTTAGTTATCTGTGCATGTGTCACAGTCATGCTTATCTCATAGATTATAAGTGTAGGGGAGGAAAATTCTTACCCTCTACCCTCTAATGTTCAGTTCCTGAGGTCTGTGAATTAAACTGACAAATGGCAGATAAACAGGAGCAAACGCATATTAATAAAAATATTTATTAATATTTTTAATTTTTGGTACACATAAAAGTCACAGAGAAGAAGGCTTCACAGGAAAGAAGGGAACATCCCAAAGAAGCAGTAAGACTCAGAGGCTTATATACTATTTTAAAAAGGAGATAAGGGCTTCCCTGGTGGCACAGTGGTTGAGAGTCCGCCTGCCAATGCAGGGGACACGGGTTCATGCCCCGGTCCGGAAGGATCCCACATGCCGTGGAGCGGCTGGGCCCGTGAGCCATGGCCGCTGAGCCTGCGCGTCCGGAGCCTGTGCTCCGCAACGGGAGAGGCCGCAACAGTGAGAGGCCCGCGTACCTCAGAAAAAAAAAAAGTAAGTCAATAAATTGTGGGGAAGTGACTAGACCAAGGAAAGCGTGGTTGGGCTCTTAGGGCAAATAAATTGTGGGAAAGTGATGAGGAAATATATGGAGGTAACTACTGGAAGATAAGGTTTGACCATGAGGTGTCTCCTCGCCATCTCTGTCTTCAGTGACAATGGTTGCTCTCTGTCTGTTATGGGAGAGGGCAACGCTCGCATGAGAGAAAATTATGCCCTGTTTTTAAGCAGATAGAGGAAGAGCAGAGATATCTTCTAAGAATCATTTTGAACTGAAGGCAAATGAGGAAAGGCAGACACAGAAAGGGCTCTCGGCTCTTCCTTTATCCGCTTAAATATGGCATATTTAAGCCAAAGTGGCATATTTGGAGTGGCATATCCTGATCGCCATCATAAGTGAGAAGAAAGCATAAAGCAGGGAGCCTTTTCTGATTCAAAAGAATAGAAGGGTTGGAATGGGATAAAGGGTCAAAGTGAATATGGCAGCAAGAGAAAGGCATCTGCAGTGGAGAAGGGTGCCTGTTGCCAGCAGCTGGCTGCCCATGGTCAGTGAGCAAGACACAGAGCCCCTGAAAGCCGCCCTGTTTTCTATCCCTCACACTCTTCTTCCGTAGCAGAGCATCTCCAGGCCTCAGGGTGCAGAGCAGTGCCTCTCAAACCCCACAGAGTACCACACACCAGCACCAACAAGCGTTGGCCAGGTTATTCGTCCAGTGCTTCTCCTTCAACGAGAACTTCCAGAGACACGTATTTACTCAGCAAGATTGTTAACTGCCCCCTGGATGCGGCCACTGCTAGAGAGGGAGACGAGTTCAAGAAGGGATAATATGCTAATCTTGCATCACAGATGTTTGGAGAACATCAGTTAGGGCTTAAGGGTGGGCAGGGATTTCCCAGTTGAACAGGGAGGGGCGTCAGCAGAGCATCACAAATAAAGAGAACTGTCTGTACCCAGGCCCAGGGCTCTGAAACAGCCTGGGTGCTTGGGGTAGAGAAGATGCAGAGCTGGGGCTGGAGAGTAGGGCAAGG